GGCGATGAGTTGGGTTCGCCGGCATCTCTGCCACATCCGGGCGGAGCGGATGGCGAGGGAGGGGGCCCCTAACTTCGCAAGGCACGTTCCGAGAGGCCTACCAGCGGCAAAGGAAAGCCTGCTGCCTCTCAAAACGGCGCCACGGCAGTTCAGGCGTTCGAACCTCAGCTGAGCGAATTTCTAGCACCGGCTGCGACAGACGGAAAGCAAGGCGGCCGAGCCAAAACAAAAGGGAACTTGTTTAGGGTGCGTCGCAAAAATAGTCCGGCAATCGCGCTTGCCGACCTCCTTAAAGACACAAGCCGTGTAGATAAACGGCTCCGAAGGGTACACGGCAACGACTCGCTCGGAGAGGCGATCTGATTCTCTTGAAGAAGAGAAGGGGTCGGCAGCTGAGTGCGAGCTGAGGGGTGTACGTGGAGCGGGGCGCGTACCTCCGCCTCCTTCAGCCGGCGCTCAAACCAGCCCTTGGTGCCCTCCATGGCCTGGACCTGAGCCCGCAGCTCCTCCGCGGTCTGCTGCCAGTCCTCCAGCTCCCGGGTCCGGGCCTGGGGAAGACAAACCCGAGCTCCGGGTGAGAACAGAAGCTGGGGGGGTTGAAACGTGCACCGTCGAGTCCCGCTGAAGAGGAGGCTGCTTAGAGCAGTGGAAGCGGTCTGGTCTCGTTCTAATCGAAGCCCACAGCTGAGCCCTGCACTGCTCTGCCTACAGTCCCAATCTGCTGCACACACGCACCGCGACGCAGTCTGTCCACCTGCACTGCACGCCACCAGCACAATTACTCGGTCCCCTATAACAGTCTGGAACGCCAAGGGGAATCTATATTCAACACACCTCTCCGAGTCACCCGAGACGCAGATGTCATGGCGACGGAGATATGAGTAAGAAAAGCCCACGTTTGCATGAATGACATGAGGTAAAATTCTGATGATCTAACAGCTTTCATTCAGAGCTCAAAGTAACTTTGATAAGCAATTACAGAGAACAAATCGATAGTGAGTCAAATCCATTATGACGCTGCTGCGCGCCCACCAAGCAAGTGTTGATCAAATGAGAATGCACAAGCCTGGTATTGGAATACACCACCATAAAGTGGTTCCAATAACAATTAAGGAGAGAAAAACAAAAAGGCTTCAACATTAGTGATTGTACATGCATTAATCTTTCCTTCTTCGTTAATTATAAGCAATGCATTAGCGTGATGCTTGGAACGGTACACCGCGATCAATAGCAGCAGAAGTCCACAACTGGATTATGCATGAAGGGCCCAGATGATGAACAGCTATGTGGAGCAGCAACAACGAAATTAGCCTCCAAAGGCACCAGTGCAGAGCTCTTAGAGAGCAGGAGTCAGGAGGGTTGCAGCAGACTCCTATCATTCTTACAGTGTAAATTGGGGTGCTCTTAACTCCTGTTGCATCTGTGAAGCTAGATTAAAAAGAACCAAGGCCACAAACTCAGCCTGATTGGACCCTATACATGCTTTAACTAAGGCAAGACTGCTGTAACTCCTTAGTTACTGGGCTGTCTGCTAAGGCAGGGGTGCCCAGTCCTGTTCCTGGGGTCTAGCACACCTGCTGATTGTCATTGCTTGCTGAGCTCTTTGCTGAAATGGATTCTGCATTGAATAAATTGTTGCTTTGGAAGTTTTTGTTTTCTACTCAAAGCTCGGAGCCGCCAAAATCTCAAGTTATTTACGGACCACAATAGCTAAAAAGTGAACTGATGTGTAAGAGTATATGAGAAACCTGTTAGTGGGACTATTAAGGGTTATTTACTTGACTACTCAAGGAGAACAGACACCAGCAGGACCAATACTAGGCTTCAGGGAGTCCAGAATTCAGAGGCCTGCGTGCCAGCAGAAGGTACTCAGATTCGGCCTGAACATACAAAAGTGGTTACAAGTGCTATTCTGAGATGCTTCTGCAGGACCACTGCAGAAACAACTAAAGGGGATTAGTTTAAAGCTCGCTTCGGGAGTGAAACACGATTCTTCATTATCGGTTACTGATGCATTACGGCTCTGCCCGGCAAGCCCATTACAGCCCAGCCTGAACTCGCGGGGCTGAGGTCCTAGGTCCTACAGGTTTCAACGGCGTCTTTTCCCCGATCGGTGCCGGGATTAAAGACGCGGACACGCGGCAGTCCGAGCCGCACGACAGCTCCGGCCCGGCCAGCCCCGAGACGCCCGCCTCCGTCCGCACGGCGCTCGGGAAAGCTGCAGCCGAATGAGCCACTGGGCAGCGGAGCCTCTCCGGGGCGGCCCGGCGGGCAGGCGGCCTCACCCTCTCGTCGCGGAGCTGGCTGCGGATCTCCTCCTCGGCGCGGTGCTTGTCCTCGTGCAGCTCCCGCAGCTCGCGCTCGTACTTGGCGCGGATGCCCAGCACCTCCTTCTCGTGCTGCAGCCGCGCGTTGCCCAGGTCCTCCTTGTGCCGCGACTTCTCCTGCGCCGTCTCGATCGCCATCTCGTCCAGCATGGCCTTGCGCTTGTCCGCGGTCTGAGGCGAGAAGGGAGGCGGTGGCAGAGGCGCGGTGGCGGCGGACGAGCGCATCCCCGAGACGAACTAGAGAGCACCCGGCCAGAGGCCAGGCTCAGGGGCTTCGCAAGACTGCTGGAGCTCAGTGTTCCTGCAGAGCCAGCAAAGGTGAGACCACACCCCTGACACTCAAACCCTGGTGTTACTCCTGCCCCTGTGTTGTCACCTGAAGCTCATGTGAGAAACATCACAAGGGCACCTTTCTTCCACCTGAGGAGCACGGCTCAGCTAGGACTCTGGCTCTACCTGGTGTTGAAACGCCCACACCTGCCGTTAACGCATCATGATCAGACGGCTCTATTGCCTCACTTCTCTACCGAGCTCCTAAACAGGCTGCAGTGTGCAGAATCCTGCAGACTAAAAGGATTTGGTCACGTAACTCCTGGCCTGTGTACACTGCACTGAAAATTGTTGTGAAATTTAAAGGACTTTAAAAGGTATCCTACTTTTGTATAAGAAAACTAAACGGACCAGCACCAGAATATCCTCAGGACCTTTTGCATGAGTGGAGTCCACTTCTTAGCCTGCGCCAGAGGATCAGATTCTCACTCTGACGAATCCCTGGCTCCACACCTGTGGCGTGCAGAACCCCGTCTGTGGAGCTCGCCCTCCCAAACCCTTACCCTCCGCCACTGTCGACGGCTTAAAAAACTCAGCTAAAGTACTTTCAGACTAAACGATTATGACATTTGATAGTTTCACACTGATGTCGCCTGCCGTGGCTCCTCGCTGCGCCTGCGGGTATGGGGAGGAGGGGGTGTGAGCGGGGAGCAGCGCGGCGCGGTACCTTGCGGGCCTCCTCGAGCTCCTGCTGCAGCCTCTCCTTGTCCTGGCCCAGCTGGGTCAGCTGCTCCAGCAGGCGGCCGCTGGCCCGACTCGCCTCCTGCACACGGGGAGGAGCAAGACGCCGCTGCTGAGCTTTCACGTACCTAGCGCCTATCACGGAGCGCACCCTGACATACTTCTTATTCAAGGAAAAGAATTAGCTCAAGACTAAAAAACAAGTGAGAAGACTCCCCAGCGCACAGAGGTTCATCATGCAAGCTCTGGCGTTAACTGAACTGCGGAAAGGTTTATTTAAACTCCACAGGCTAAGCCACGCACATGTACTCAAAATCTGGTTACAAACATCAAGCATCCATCGCTTGGTGTTGGTTTATTAAATACAACTGCCTACAGCTGAAAAACCCGGAAGTGGACCAAACTGCTATGCAGTGGGTGTCCAAACAGTTCTCCTGCAATACACAGTAAATGCAAATGACAAACACATTAATCTGCACTTGAAGGCCACACTACCACTTTCTAGCATGATTTCAAACAGAACTGGTGCCTTAGTGCATATTAATATCATGCACGTGACTGCTGCCCCCTAGTGGCTGTCTGGCTCTAGGGTAAAAGGCGGCACAGGCTGACCTGCAGCTGCGAGTTGAGGTCATCCCTCTGGGCCAGGAAGCTCTCCTGCTCAGCCTGCCTCTGCTGCAGCTCCACGGTCAAGGCCACGTTCTGGTCCCTCAGCACATTCATCTCCTGGGTCTTGGCGGTCTGGATCTGTCACACGGCAGGGAAGAGCATGAGGACATCTGCCCCCACAGGCACCGCTAGCACATGGGACAACTGAGCTGGGCACTAGCTCCCTTCTGCACATTAATTGCAGAACTGTGAAAGGACATGTCTAAAGCATCAACAAAAAAATAATTCAGAATTTCCTTGTTTTATTACTGGTATTGCTGCTTTAGAGGAGGAAACACCCAGCCAATAACATCACCTTAAGACATAAATTAAGATAAGTGTCCAGAACAGACAGCTTTACTTTCATAACTTAGTAACTTTAGTGCCGATTTCAGAACACGTCTGGCACAACAACAACCCATGACGAAGGCAACACTAGCAAAGCAATAAACCTAGACGAAACGCGGATTGGTTTTCATAAGCCCTTCTGAAACAAGATTGCCATGCCCAACTAGAGAAGACGACTGCCCTCACAGCTCCCCTGCGGCCTGGCCAGGGTGCGGAGAAAAACCGGAGCCTGTGTGCACTCCCCTCAGACAACGGCCCAGCAAAGCCTTTTCCCAGAATCCCTGAAGAAGGCCCTGACCAGCAACAGGGCTGCAGGCTAAGAGGAAGGGATGTGAAGCTCTTGGAGTCCTCTCTCAATTCTTCTGCAGCCTGAAGAATGGACATGCATGAGGACACCCAGAGAGCACCGTACTGCATTTATAATCCAGATCACACAGCACAGCTGGGAGCAACAACTCGGAATATCCTTTTCCGTCTAATTACACATCATTACTTTCATAAATGAACAAACACAGCTGTCTCAATCGGCTAAAGACTGAATCACAATGCTAACTGAACAGGATACAGGATTGCAAACTAATGTCTCTTTGAGGATGTGTACCGATGCGTAATCTGAAAAGGGCCCCATTGCCCAGACAGCTGCAAACAAACCCACAAACCCACTCAACCTCGTGGCTGGGTTCAGGTACCCAGGTGAGTGCAGGAGTGTCCGAAGAGACACAGAAACAAGGAGAAGCCTCCCCAGTGCTCTGCCTGCGCAGGGAGAAGAGGGGAGCAGTACCTGTTCTAGGGCAGCTAGATTAGTCCTGAGAGCATCATTCTCAGTCAGGATACTCTCCACCTGCTCCTGACTGACTGCGCTCTGACACGCTACCTGTATCACAGTGGGAGAGAGAGGGGAAGAGCAGGAGAAGACAGGGAGTCGTGTCGGAGGAGTGCGAGGGAGACAGGATGAACGGGAGGAGTCACAGCGGAACGCGACAAGGAGGCAAGAAGGGGAGAAGGGAGGAAAGCACAGGAAAGCGGGGGGGGAGAAGGAGACAAAAGGAGTCAAGCAGAAAGGAAGGAGAGACCAGAAATGGGAAGAAAAAAAAGAAGATGAAAAAAAAAAAGAGATTAGAACACAGAAGCAGAGAAAGTCCAGGCACGAAGACAGCTGAATCAAGGCATGACTGAATTAAAAGGACGGGACACAGGATTAATTTCTGATTGCACTGCAGAAGGCAAGGAAAGCAGGGTTAACACTCTGGACTTCTTAAGAGGAGAGCAGCAGAGTTTTCATAAGCAAAAGGAACCCGACAGCTTGCCTCTTTCTCTGTGATCTGCAGAGCCCCGCCGAACGGACGACAATCACAGCCAGCCAGCTCCCTATAACCTCTTTCAAGGAAGGCTGCCCATTAAGGCAGTTCTTCAGGAACTCCTTTCCTGCAGCGCTAGCTACAGACATAATGGTAACGTTTCAAAACTGAAAACGCCTAAAGAGCTCAAGAAGTCTTGCCAGGACTCCTGAACCTAAGCTATACTGACAGAATCTCCCTCAATAAGTCAGGAAGACATTAAAGGCACTGAGTGCATTCGGCACTCTCAACTCCTGGTGTCACTCGGAACAAGGGGGTCGAATTCCTACGCAGAGATTATCACCAGCAGTGTGGGAGTCATTATAAACTGACAACTCATTAGTGGCTCTGCAGACTGCTGTTCCACTTCCCTATCTGCATGGTTCACAAGGCCCCTGAGCAGTCAGCTATCTGGAGCAACAGCTCTTTAATAGTAACAAGCAACTCTGGGGGATGGACTGAAGAGGACACTAGGATTTTAGGACCTTCTTTCTGCTTTTCCTGTCCAGAGAATAGCACATCTGTTTTAAATGTCTGTCTGGCAGACAAGCACAAAGAACTAAAAAATCTACTGGATTTCTGTTGAAGTCCGATCCTGCAAACCTGGCTGACAGAGATCCATCTGCCTGGATCAGCCATTTCCTCCAATGATCCATCAGAGATTTTGCCCCACTCCTTCTATTCCACATCAAGCCTGTCCTCCAGTTCAACCTTAATTATGGAGGAGGGACTTCAACCCCGAGAGCCAGAGAAAACTCCTGCAATCTGCCGCCTTCAGCTCCCGAGAGCTACTCCTACAGAGTGGGGGGTAAGGCTTGATCTTGAGGGAGATCCTCATGAACTGGTTGTAGCTGTTGGCTACCGTGAAAGAGCAGTCACCCTGGGGCCATGATCACGTTCCACACACAGCCCGCTACAATTCAGGAGGCTATACCACCACCGCGGGCTCTGCTGTGCAGTGCACACAGAAACCACAACCAAGGTCTGAAGAACATCCAGCACAATCTAACTCACTGTCACACCAGACACTGTCAAATCCATTTCAATATGCAATAGTTTCCCTTTCAATCTGGAATCATTTCTGCGCAGATTCGTCCGAGTCGGGGTTATTTGTGCACAGACTGCATCTCCTCAAGGGTGAAGCTCTGGCAGCAAAAGAGTTAAGCAATCGAGGCGCTGCCAAGGAGCGGACAGGCATTGCCGGCACCACACCTCCACCCCACAGGCCAGCTCGGCAGGCCCTGGGCTGGTTACCTGGTCTCTGAGTGCAAGGAGGGCTGCTTCATGCTCCTTCTGCTGGCTCTGCAGCTGCTCCTTCAGCTCACTGATGCTCTGCAAAGACACGCCTGAGATTAGAGCAGGCCGCAACACCGCTAGGCCAGCACGCCTGCGCTTTTCTTGCACGTGCGTCGGCACACTGCCCAGTGCACCCTTCCTGCAGTGATTAGAATCACAGGAAACAGATTTCACCCCTTCCTAAGAGAGGTGGACTCTGCCTGCTCAAGTCAGGCTGCAGTTCCTGCAAACCAGTGTCCCCTTGACATCTTTCTAGGGCCACAGTTTTAATCTCTTTAGGTATCACCCCTTAGTCCCACCCAACACTACTGCCTTCACTACAGTATCTCCTACTCTGAAAGTGCTTGGGCCCAGCCTTGAGCAGACCATTGGACTGGACTGCAGTGGGGCAGCCTGATTGGTTGGCATGTGGAGGCACTGATACCTGATTGGCCACCTGCAGGTCTCCCTGTAGCTTCTGGTTCCGAATGTTCATGGACTTCAACTCCTCCTCTTTCTTCTGCTGAATCTCACTGATTTTAATCCTGAAAAAAAAATCCAATAACCAACAGGAGCAAAACAAAAGTCAGAAAGTGGTTTTTATTGTTTTACTCTACTTAAATCCCTGGGGTGTTTTAATGAGTTGCACCCAAAGGTACCAGGTTATTTTTTCAGTGACTGACACTCCTGTGTTAAAAATACATATAAAAAAACAACTTGGCATTTCAGATGCTGTTTCTGTCAACGAGGCAGAAGAAAGTTCCGGTCAGACCACAGATAATATAGATGTTGTCCATAAAATACTTTATTTTGTAAAAGGGGAGCCAACATTGCATGTCAATCAGTAAGAAAGACAGAAGTGCGTGCAGGGGATTTTCGCTCTCACCTGCTGTCATTGTAGAGAGCCTCCTTTTCAGCCTGCAGGCGCATGAAGCTGCATGAGAGTGGGACACAGGGTTGTTACTGCAATCTCCCCCCCCAGAGAGACTGGGACACTAACACACCCTCTGTGTGCCCTAACCTAACCCCACCCCCTCTGGTAGCACCCCTTTCCGCAGGCTGTACCCCCCTCCTGCCACCTGCACCTTGGAGGGGTGCGAACGAGAGGAAGCATCACGCCCGTTTGGTCATATCTGTAGCTTTGCGCTATCTGATGCAAGGTCTCATCCATTCATTATTTCCTCGAAGGAAGCCGGGGTATCGGCTTCAACAACGTGGCTGGACAGCCTGCTCCAGAATGTAGTCCCCGACGCGGTGGGACGTACTTTCTATAGAAGATTAACTGGCAAAGTGATGCTGCGGCCAACAGACATGCAACAGGCCGCATGACCTGTTGACATCACTTTGAAACGGTTTCCTTTAGGACACAGTAACGTGAGAAGAGACGACCACAAAAAAACATCTAAGTTGCTCTGCAATCACAGCTCTCAAAATTCTTTAACGTCGGTTGCCATTACTCTCTCCATTTAAATAACGGGTATTGAAATATTTTTACGGGAATTTAACTCGTGGTACGCAGAGACTTTGTGGTTTAATGCTGCTAAGGGAAGATTGCTTGGGAAAGGAATGTGAAC